GTAATGATTCTGCACTGATTCGTTCCTGATGCTTTCAGTAGGGTTGTATTTACAAGGTATATATATAGTAAATACCTTGTATTTACAAGGTATATATATTATAAATACCTTGTAATATAAGGTATATAATAAATACCTTGTATTTACAAACAAGTACAAAAACAATCTCTCTGCTATATTTATTAAGATAATTTATTAAAATAAAAAAANCTGCTATATTTATTAAGATAATTTATTAAAAAAAAAAAAAAAAAAAAAAAATAATTGTAACATTGAATAGGTAATGTAGTCACGATAACTTAAGTACATGAAATCATTTAGTATTAGATTGTTTGTTGTTGCATTGTCGTAATTGTGCGTTAGAAGCAGGTTTGTTGAGCAGCTGCGATTTATATACGTATACGTTTAATAAGTTAATTGCTTTTTATCATAAAATAAAATGATTTTATTATAAATTTGAGATGTTACAATTTATGAAGCGCTCCAAACGTTAACGTACAATTTTTGAACAGATTAAAAAGAACAATTAATCCTGTATGCAGATAGTTATATTTCGTATATTAGTTGCAAGTGGAAAACGTTAAAAGGTGTAAACAATATATTTAATACGATAAGTACTCGCTATTAATGAAAATCTGTTAGTGCATTGTTGTGATGGTACATGTAACAATAATTATAGATGAAGCAAATTTGTTGAGCAGCCTAGATTTATAATTGATATATTATGGTTAGCGCTCTTTACAATAAAATACTATTGTTTTATTGTAAATTTGAGCTGCTGCAATCTATAAAGCGCTCCAAATGCTGATTCTGTATATTATTTGTAACATGAAACAATGAAATTAATGGAAGAAGTGATGAATACGGTACATTAATCAAAAATGTAAGAATGTCAGTATTTACTCTTATGAGTTAAGCACTCTGTAATAAATTAGACAAACTGTAAACTGTAACAAAGGTCATGGTACATATTCACGGACTTTAAATAAAATTTATATAAAAAAAATTGCCTACATACAGTATTCCAACTTGTACACTAGACCTACTTTAATTCTGTCCGCTGGAACGCCGGAATTCCTATGCTTATACACGTTCCACTACTCTGCGGACCGGACAGAATTAAAGTAGGTTTAGTGTACTCATTCATAAAGAACCTAGAAAAAATAATTCTTCTAAGCCTCAGGTGGACAGGTCGAAGAGTTCCCCAAATGAACTCATCCACGAGAACACGAAAACAAAAAAATTCCCCGAAGATGTTTCAACAGGGGCCAAAACGGGCACTTAGTGCATCAGGTCAGCACGTTCAAGTTCTTCGCCACAAACTCATCCGCGAGAACAGGAGAACAAAAAAATACCCCGAAGAAGTTTCAACAGGGGCCAGAACGGGAACTCGGTGCACCACGTCGACGCGTTCAAGTTCTTCGCCACAAACTCATCCGCGAGAACAGGAGAACAAAAAAATTCCCCGAAGAAGTTTCAACAGGTGCCAGAACGGGGACTCGGTGCACCAGGTCGGCACGTTCAAGTTCTTCACCACAAACTCATCCACGAGAACACGAGAACAAAAAAATTCTCCGAAGAAGTTTCAACAGGGGCAAGAACGGGGACTCGGTGCACCAGGTCGACGCGTTCAAGCTCTCCGTTATAAAATCATCCACGAGAACAGGAAAACGAAAAAATTCCCCGAAGAAGTTTCAAGAGGGCTAGAACGGGCACTTGGTGCACGCCACAAAAGAAGAATGTGTAAAAAATGTAAAAAAAGGTTTAAAACGTGCGAAATCGCAAAAAACGACCAATTTTTTGGATATATATTATATATATATAATATATATGGCCGATTCTCTGTGAAATCGAATGGCCAAAAAATTTTTTTTTCTGCAAATATGAAAAACTTGCTGTTCCCGATGTCAGAAATGTCCCCAAATTTTATTAGAATTTTTGGGACCATCTATCACTCTTTTTCAGGGGCCCGAAGTTGGCCATTTTAGGGTTTTTTTGAAATTCATGAAAAATCACAAATATTAAAATAATTCCTGGATTAAAGTAGAATGATTCAAAAGTAAAAGTGCCCAGCAACTTTTTTGTTGGAAATTGTCCAAATTTTCAGAAAAAAAATATGCCAAAGTGATTGGAACAATCTAGGTAAGTGTAAAGCAAAAAAACTGCCAAGTGGACATAAATGATGAAATCTAATCGAGTTCGAACCGGACTTTCATTTCCTAAACTATGTAAAAAGCTTCCCAAAGATGTCAACTACTGCCTGATAAAGTTTTGTAATGGGTCTTAAAGTTTAACGCAATGTAGACAACAATGTGTGGCGAAAAACATGCAAAAAAGGTCAAAAATTTTCAGGCCTTTTTTGCATGTTTTTCGCCACACATTGTTGTCTACATTGCGTTAAACTTTAAGACCCATTACAAAACTTTATCAGGCAGTAGTTGACATCTTTGGGAAGCTTTTTACATAGTTTAGGAAATGAAAGTCCGGTTCGAACTCGATTAGATTTCATCATTTATGTCCACTTGGCAGTTTTTTTGCTGTACACTTACCTAGATTGTTCCAATCACTTTGGCATATTTTTTTTCTGAAAATTTGGACAATTTCCAACAAAAAAGTTGCTGGGCACTTTTACTTTTGAATCATTCTACTTTAATCCAGGAATTATTTTAATATTTGTGATTTTTCATGAATTTCAAAAAAACCCTAAAATGGCCAACTTCCGGCCCCTGAAAAAGAGTGATAGATGGTCCCAAAAATTCTAATAAAATTTGGGGACATTTCTGACATCGGGAACAGCAAGTTTTTCATATTTGCAGAAAAAAAAATTTTTTGGCCATTCGATTTCACAGAGAATCGGCCATATATATACATATATATACTAGACTGATTCAAAAAAATCGAAGTTTTTCAAAACCTCGATTATACAATCTTAATGTCTTCCATATGCCTAAAAATAGATCCCAAAAAATTTGTAGCCCATTTAAATAATTTTTACTGGTCGCTCAACGAGCATTTAGATTTCCGATTTAAATAAGATTTGACAATATATTTTATCTCTTTGAATGTTTGAGACAACCCTAAAAAAATTTGACAACTATGAGCGACATGTATTTTGATGCAAATTTTTATCACCTTTCAGAATCCGGCGTCAAAATTGAGATTGGTGCATTATTTCAGTAGTTATGAGCAATTTTGTGCCGAAAAACGTGGTTTTTTGTGTGAATCGAGAAAAGTGCATTTGTTTATTCAAAAAACGATAATATCAATTTTTTAAAATATCAATTTTTAACCATACAAAATCAATCTTCCTCTTTTTCATCCATTTTTAACATTGGTGTAAGTTTCGTTACATGGAACAATCCTTCCTCACATTTTTTTCCTTCCGTTCTAATCGAATATAATGCATTAGAGATTTTTTCTTTTATTTGGAATGGTCCAATTTTCAAGTTATCTAACTTTTTCCGATTTAATCTATTACCATTTTCAATATACACCCAATCTTCTTTATCAAATTCAAAATGTTTTCTATTTTTATCAAACAGTTTTTTATTTTATTCATGTGATTCAATTGATCTTTTCAACGCTAAATTTCTATCCTCGATCCATTGTTCTCTAGACTTTACTTGTCTCAATTCTGCAGGTACTATACTGCTTTCTTTTCCTTCTAACAAATATAAACCATTCGATGAAGGAGTATTAACGGCTGTAAAAATCAACTTAACTTGATTTTCTTTCAAATATTCTTTGAATTCTCTTGAATTTATTCCTGGATATTGATCTGCCAAAAGCATTCCAATGCTTTCTACTTCCAATACTTCCTTTATCAATTTAATAAAATCAGTTGCGTTTTGAGTCTTTGACGTTGATATAAAGGCAAATCTAGTAAAATGGTCCACTAATAAATGTAAATATTTTTTCGTAGACCTTTGTCCACCGAAACCTCCAATTGTATCCACTGACATAATTTCAAATGGTCTTGTGGTCGGACCGAGATGTGACATCAATCCATACTTCATTTGTCCTCGTGACTTATTTTTTATGCACACTTCGCAACTCCTACATATTTTTTTTATGTTAGATATTAAATTTTTAGCTTTATAATAAGGAGCTATTTTCTTTATCATTTGTCTTACACCTAAATGACACCATTCTATATGTGTGTCTCTAATGATTTTCGAACTTAAATCTTCTGTTAAAATTATTTTTTCTTTCTTTCTCTCTTTAGCATAAAATATACCTTTTTTTTTTACTATTTTCTTTTTTTCGGATTTTATATCTTCATTTTTATTTTGGTTATTCTTTATCTCTTCTAATTTTACCAAATTAACTATCCGTAAAATCTCTTCTTCGTTTTCATTTGCATCCAAAACCGGATTCCGACTAAGGCAATCTGCCTCCACATTATCTTTTCCTAATATATATATAATGTCAAAATCATACTGTGATAAATAATATGACATATCACCTAATTCTTCGTCTGTTCTGGCCTTGATATTCAAATTTTGTAATGGTTTATGATCCGAGTATACTGTAAATCTTTTACCAATCAACCAATGTTGCCAATATTTTATAGCTTCCTTGATTGCAAGACATTCCAAATATGAGGCGTTTCACACCAAAAGTCCTAGCTTGTCGGCGCGCGGCGCAAATAGGCGAAATCACTCAGTTTCCATCTCGCTTAAAAAGTACCAAAACAGACCTAGAAGAAAAAACCGATACACCATTTCAATAGGAAATTTCCTCAGCTTTCTGATGGTATGGTCAGATTTTCCGAAATTTTCCATTTTCACCGGAAAAACTTGACATAAACTTTAAAATGCGAATAGCTCAAAAACGGCATTTTTAAGATTTTTCTCAATAGTCTCAATCAAAAGCTGAGGAAATTTCCTATCGATATACAACTTTTCAGAGTGTGCAATTGAGTATAACTTATTGAAATACAGCTACGAACATCGGGTGCACGGCCGCGCGGCGACGCGCTAGGAGTGTTGTTGTAAATGACCAGCAAGTGTCATGTGCTAATCCACTAATATGTTGTAGCCAAAAGTCATTATACCTGACGCTGTTTTATGTAAAAAAGTATACTTCGTATCTTGCTTTGCATGAATAAATCGAATACGCCCAACTGCCTACATCATTAAAAACAATATCGAGTGATACATCATGGCCTTTTCATCGAGATGCTGTAATCCGTTGAATTCTTTGAATCATAGTATCACAAAGAATTTAACCAATGTTCCCAAATTTGTGTATGACCGTTACCCAAATATTCCTGAGGGGTCAAAAATTTGTGCAGCGTGCAAACGCAAATTGTACGTAGTCGAGTCTGAAAATCGTGAATCTGAAATTCGAGATCAAAAAGCAGCAGAAGCAGGTATCGCAATTCTCAATCAAATTAAAGAAAAGTTTGCGATGACAAATAACAAAGATGAGAGGATTTTCTTGCTCACTTTATCACCCAAATTTTGGTCTCGAAATGATATTATTAGGGAATTAAATTGTACTGAGAGAGAAGCAAGAACAGCCAAAAGTTTAGCATCAGACAGTGGTATCTTAACATATCCTCCTAAAAAGAAAGGCAATAAAACCCTGCCTATAGAGACCGAAACTATAGTAAAATCTTTTTATGAACGCGATGATGTAAGTCGAATGATGCCTGGGATGAAAGATTACATTTGTATTAAAACAGATGATGGACAGAGAATTCACGAACAGAAACGTTTACTTCTCGGAGATTTGGGCGATTTATATAGCCAGTTCAAAAAAGAACACGAGGGCATTAAGATTGGATTCACAAAATTCACATTACTCAGACCAATTCACTGCATCTTAGCTGGTAGCAATGGCACGCATAATGTGTGTGTGTGTGTGCGTTTACCACGAAAATGTGAAACTCATGCTCGAGGCTGCTGATTTCTCTCATCTAAATCATATCGAGAATCCTCATTTGAATTCAAATGATTACCGCGACTTCCTTAAAGCTACCAAATGCCTCAATCCATCACAAGACTGTTACATTGGTATCTGCTTGGATTGTCCAACGGCGGCTGATCTCCAGAAACAATTGAATACCATTTTCAGTGACAACCACATTCATGAAATAACTTTTTATAATTGGTTGCATACTGATAGATGCAACATAACATCGCAAACTTTAAATGTTCATGAGTTTTCAGAATTACTCTCTGAAAAATTAATAAAACTGAAAACTCATGAATACTTTTCTGAAAATCAGTCGCAGTATTTCAAGACTCTAAAGGAAAATCTGCAAGATGGAGAATTTTTGGTAAGTTGCGATTTCGCTGAGAACTATGCTTTTGTAGTGCAGAATTCCACTCAGTCGTTCCACTGGAACAATAACCAGGCAACGATTTTCACAGTTGTTGTTTACTTTAAGAAAAATGGGAAGGAAGCGCATCAGAGTATTGCAATTATTTCTAATAATATAAGCCACGACACCATAGCTGTTTATACGTATCAAAAAATTATCGTGAAATACTTGAAGGAAAATTTTGATCCAAAACGAATTATTTATTTTACTGACGGTGCTGCACAGCATTTTAAAAATAAAAATAATTTTACCAACTTGAAGCATCATGAAAAAGATTTCGGCGTCCCAGCCGAATGGCATTTTTCCGCCACTGGTCATGGAAAAGGAGCATATGACGGAATCGGTGCAAATATCAAACGTAGGGCAAGACGAAAAAGCTTGCAGCTCACAGTAAAAAACCACATAACTTCGGCTGAATCTTTATACGAATGGGCAAAAGGGCACTGCAAGGAAACTGAGATTTTCCTGAGCAAAAAAACTGATTACGACCAAACTTCTCTCGAAATTCAACCAAGGTTTGAAACAAGTAAGGCAATCCCAGGTACCTTGCAGTATCATGCTTTCATTCCAACGAATGATAACTCATTGATATTAAAAAAGATATCGTCATCAACTACTTACGATATTTTTCCTAAAGTTAAAAAAGAAAAACTTAATTCTGACAAAAATAAAACAGTAAAACGTCAACGATCAGTTTCCTCAAATAAAAAGAAACAGAGCTCAAAAGATTCGGTGAAAGACAAGCCCAAAAAGTCTAGGCGTAAATGAGTTTTCATTTCGATAATATCATGAAAATAATGTAAATTAAAATAATTTTGAAAGTTTTTGCCGAGTTTTTCTGGAAAAATATGGTAAAAATGTAAAATTAGACCGCACTACGGAAATTTCCTCAGCTTTTGATTGAGACTATTGAGAAAAATCTTAAAATAGCCGTTTTTGAGCTATTCGCATTTTAAAGTTTATGTCAAGTTTTTCCGGTGAAAATGGAAAATTTCGGAAAATCTGACCACACCATCAGAAAGCTGAGGAAATTTTCTATCGAAATGGTGTATCGGTTTTTTCTTCTAGGTCTGTTTTGGTACTTTTTAAGCGAGATGGAAACTGAGTGATTTCGCCTATTTGCGCCGCGCGCCGACAAGCTAGGACTTTTGGTGTGAAACGCCTCATATATAGCCTTTTTCCTTTTCTGACACTCGTTTGTCTTTTTCGAAAAATAAGCCACTGGTTTATCTTTTCCATCTGCTTGTTTCTGTTTAAGTATTGCACCGAAACCTTCAATAGATGCATCGGTGAAAATCTTTATCGGCAGATTATTATCGAATATTTCTAATATAGGCTCAGAGCATAATAATTTTTTTTATTTTTTCAAATGATTCTTCACAACTATCCGTCCACACAAACTTTTCATTTTTCTTCAGTAGCTTATGTAGAGGATCTAACACTTTTGCACTTCCAGGTATGTATTCATGATAAAAATTAATTTTCCCTAAAAATTGCCTGACATTTTTTTGTGTCTTTGGTCTTGGAAAATCTTTAATTGACTTTAAATTATCTGTAACAGGTCTAACTGTATTATCTTGAATAATATGTCCTAAATACTTCGCAGACTTCGAGGCAAAATTACATTTAGTGAACTTCAACCTAAAACCTTCTTTTACAATTGCCTGTAGTACTCGTTCTAAATGTTCAATGTGTTCTTCAAATGTATTTGAGAAAATCAAGATGTCATCAATATAATTTTTTGAGAAGTCCTTGAGTTTGTATTTTCGTAGTATATTGCTTAAAATCCTTTGAAAAATCGCGGATGCAGTCTTTAAACCGAATGGTAAGCACGTCCATTGATAGTGTCCATCCTGAGTGACAAAACCTGTCTTTTTCCTATCGTCTATTCGCAGAGGTATCGACCAAAAAGCTGAATTTATGTTTAACGTTTGCGACACGGTGGTTTTTCGATGCCCAGCCACCGCCGCACTGTGAGGTCGCGGGCTCGAATAGGGCTAAATATGCGACGTTCGAGGGAACGGGAAAGAAAGGCGAAATAAAAATAATTACAAACACTTATTTATTATTTATGAGAAATCACTTTTATTTATCAAAAGAACTGGCGTAATTATTTGGCACGATCACGACTAGGCACACACACTCTCGTACATGACTCCGGCGCTATTTTCGTTACCGACGGTTCGTTGTTTTGTCTCCCAGGTGATGATCAATAGGCCTCTGACGTGTTCTTTCTGTCTCTTTTGAGACGGCGCAGGCGGTATGGCACAGGCAAAATAGTAATCACGGCGGTCAAGACCACAGTCCAAGGTATCGCGAACCGGCTCTCCGTGACTGCAATAAACTACGTGATGACTATTGAGCCGCTCTCAACACTTCCCAGCAACACCAATTGCTTTCTNGTTATTGATACGAATTCAATAATGAAAATAGCAATTTGTATAAATGTTAATGATAAACAGTATATTTCATCTGTACCACACATGTACCATTATTAATGGTAACTAATGTTAAATTAAATAATATATTTTTTGATAGAAAATCCTTCTGTTTTATTTCACGCCATATCTTTATCGAGCAATATCACTGACAGAATTGAAACGAAATCCGCAAGAACTTCTAAAAATATTTATCGCAATGCATTCAATACGATGCGATGTGATTCAAGAGTAAATATGTCGTGCGTGGGCTCATATTTTTACTGAATCAAAATGCACTCAATACATGATTAATTAGATAATTTTGAAAGTAAATATTTTAAAATTTAATTCATTTGCAATGATTACAAATTATGTCAGAAATTCTGTAAAAATTTCAAAAATTTTATTAGCTGCAAATTAACAATTTATTTATACTGATTAAGCACGGTATCAACACAAAATCATAGCCAATTCTGCATAGATTTTGCGTTGAAATATTCTGCAAATTTTCTCAGCTTATACATAACAATTTATCAAAGCTGATTATGTACGAAATTGACACAAAATTATAGCCGATTCTGCACAGATTTTGCGTTGAAATATTCTGCAAATTTTCTCAGCTTATACTTAACAATTTATCAAAGCTTATTGTGTACGGAATTGACACAAAATCATAGCTGATTCTGCGCGGATTTTGCGTTGAAATATTTCTCAAATTTTCTCGGCTAAAACTCGACAATTTATCAGAGCTTATTGTGTACGGAATTGACACAAAATCATAGCTGATTCTGCNAATTATTTTTTTTTTATTGGCATTATCAGATATTGGTAAATGTACAGAAAATTATGTAAATTACATGAAGAAATTTTAACCGGATTTGTTAATACTATTATTGCAATCTCTTAAAAAATTATATTAAAACATATATTGCAATTCTACATAACGTACATACTGTTACTACATCATTTCTCATCACTTAATAACCAATGTTTCATTATTATACATATGTGAAAATTCCTATCATAACAATGTTAATGAAACTTTGTTTTAATTATTATAATTATTGAGGAAAGTATTTTGTGTGAAACTGCCATTATATTTTTCTTTCTCATATTAGAAGCAACTTTAAATTTCAATTACGACTTCATCCAAAATATGGACCCTTCGGCCTAATAAATCAAAATACAATAAAGAATTAAATGATTGATAGAATGTAATTTATTTGTAACTAAATGTACAAAATGTTCAAGATTTTTTAAATTTTTAAATCATGTGTTCTGCATAAAAAGTGTTGCTGCTCTTACACAGTGAGCATAAATAAATATTTAATGCTAACCAAAGAAAGTCCCTTTTTTTCAATTCATTTATTAATGTTTTTCTAATTTTGTAGAGATGGTATATATTTAACGGCTTCAACAATCGTTATAAAAATTTTCAAAGTCGTTTGGCTATTCACATGAAGGAGTAATTGCATTTATCATCTCTATTTTTTAGCGTCTTATGAACTTGTGCATTTAATTTAAATTAGAATAAGGTGGTTTTCATAATTTTTTTCAAAAAGAAAAATGTCCGGTTTATTTACAAATCTTCTTGTATCAGTTATTATCAACGGGTGCACATCGATATACTTAGATCCACTTAAATCTACTTTTTTTGAAACTTGTCTCGATCATGTAAATATTAGCAATTTCCCGAACGAAAATGGTTTCCACTAAAAACATTAATAAACTTTTATAAACCTCAATAGACTTTTGTAAAGTAATGCCTGTCAACTTTGATACCCAGAGAGCACAAGTATATTGCGTCGTTACCCAGTTTAAAAAAGTGCGTGGGGTCCCACGTATATTATCTACGTATATTCCATCTGGATTCTGCGTGGATTCTGCACAGATTCTGCATGGATAAGTGTATAGATTCTTCATAAATTCCGCATTGATTCTGCATGGATTCTGGATGAAAAGTGTATAGATTCTGCACGGATTCTGCATGGATTCAGCATAGATTCTGCATACATTCTGCATGAATTATATGTTGAAAGTGCATTAAATCCATGTTCAATCAGCGTAGATCATTTTTGGAAAAATCTACTAGAATTTTTCCGTTATCTCTCAACAATTCAATTTGCTTTTAAATCTTCTTAGATTTTTACACAAAGTTTCATGCAGTTTAAACATGGAATCGATGCACTTACCATGTGAAATCCATACACTTTCCACACAGAATCTGCGTGTATAGTTAAGGTGGAATTCCACGCGTTTGTTTTAAACTGGATTTACATTCCTTTACAATCTTGTACATACTTTCGGTAGAAAATATGAATCGTTGATCAACATACAAAAACCAAAGTCGATGCAGATCCGATTATGTAAAAATATATCAAACTGTATGAGGTATCCAAATAAAATCGGAGACAAAATATAATAAGACATAGCCACGTTTTTCAGCTTAAAAAGATACCCCCTCTGCGCTTGGGTGATGGTATACATGTGAAAATCTGCGATTGAGAAGCAAAGCAAATATATCTTCGTAATAATATAAAACAAGCATATTGGTAATTTTCTTTGATAAGCTTCATTTCAAATTTATTTCAGAATCGTTAAAAAGGAAAAGAGGCTGTTATAGAGGATATGACGATGATGGATTATCAATACTTCCTAAAAGTACTTACTTCGATATGACCAGAAAAGGGGTAAACGTTGGTCACTTGAAATGTACCATTCCGAAAAAGGTTTTTTAATTATAATAATGTTATCTGTATCATTATGTATTAACCTGAAATAAATGATTTGTGTTTAATATATTCAGATTGATGTCAATATGACTCAAGCCAACGAAAATGAATTTTTTCCTGATTCTCATTTCGCGAAGGAAGTAGTAGGGACATTCTTTCATGATCCTGATTATGTAATGACTTCAAATGATAAAGAGATGAATGTAATTCTTATTACTTACCTTATTAAAAAAACGCCATTAGAATAAACTCACAATTTTGATTAATGTATAAATAATTTTTAGGAGTTCCAGGCACAACAATCAGAAAGTATTCTGAATCGAAATTGTAATGCGGAAATGGACGACGATTTCTTGCTTAATAATGAAGTTCCATTTGTGTATCCAAATTATTTTGTAAGTCTATTCGTATCTTATAGACAATTTAAATCATTTTTAGGCAAAAAATAAAAAATTTCATATTTCATTTAGGATGATGTCATGGGCGATCAATGTTTTGATTTTATGGAAAATGAAGATGACGAAGATTGTGATAGCTCGGATGATGATGAAGGTGAAGCATTTAAAAAGCTTCAAGAGATGTTGAATAATAAAGACTTTCATTCGCCCTTGAATGCTTCTGTTATTGNTATTTCGTGGTTCATGATGTATTGATTCAACACGAATTTCAGCTCACAAATTAGGTGTATAAATGTAATGTATTTTATTAGAATCGATTAAGTATGTAGTCGATCATACCCAAAGTTAGGTTTCCCTAGGATAGGATCGTTATAAAAATATGACAGGTACACATTAAGAAAAAAACAAGAATGTTTATTATTTCAAAATTAAACTGAATTTTTCTTCATGTTTGGGAGAGTTACCACACATATGTAATATAATTTGTATCATGATTAAACAGTAAAACTCTCAAACTATAATCTCACTAATATTGACTAAGCAAATGACCTACATAATACTTTTTTATAGTTCAAACGAAGATCAATATAAGAATGAACTCTTGTGAATCTAATGATATATTGACTCAAAATTATAGTCAAACCCTTTTGAATATGAATATACATTTCTAATGTATCTTATATATATAATCATAGAAAATAGAAAAATATATTATCTCTATTCATGGAACACATTTATTTTTAATTTTAGTCATTAATCTTGATTGTAAAAAAAAAATAATTTTTTTTTGTTTTTGCTTTTTGATCAATAACAATTTAAATTTAAATTAAAGTTATGATTATTTTTACGGACTTTTCAACATAATAAAACAAAAAAAAGAATCTGTAAATTATAGCATCAAACTAATACATATAAGAGTAGGATATTAAATCAAATCTTCTTCGTATACATATGAATCGTCGTCTTCCTCATTATGAAGATCAATTTCTTCCTCTACAACAAAGGGTTTCTTATCTTTAACCGATCCCGTTTTGTAACGTTTGATCTGATAAGCAACCTCATCACTGAGAATTGTTGGGATTTCGTTCAATACAACTGCCAAGTCTTTACCGTGCAAAAGAGAAGGCTTTATTTTTGTTAAAAATACTCTGAAGCAACCTACAAATGAATATTGAAAATTGATAAAATTATTTCAAAAATATATTATATACTTAAGTATAATAACTAATTTTAATAATGGAAGGAAATTATCGTTTTTTTCAAAATGGATGCAACTTTTGAAACTAAAAAATTCATCAACAAATTATACTGCAATTACTCACTTTTCATAACTTTCACCTTATTCGGAGTGAATACTTTTCTTGGAGAGTCTCTTTTCGTCGCTTTAATCATGTTTGGAACCTCTACCACACACCGATTAGCTAATTTTTCGGTTCCGTAAAGGGCACGTGCCAAGTTTTTGATAAACATGGAACGATTATTCGAGGTTTCTTTGACATATTCCCAATTACTGACCGGGATTGAATAACCTTTCCCCAAATGCAACATCATTAAATTAAAAGTCTACAAAAAAAAGGAAATGGTGAGTAGCATGGTGCACACTATTTTTATTTGTGAATAACAAAAATGCATATATGATACATACCTTATCATTTTTAGTTATCACCTTCTTCCAAATATCTCCATCTTTTCTTCCATTTATATTAGAGCCTAGCGATTTTGAAATTATCTCATTGGAAGCATCAGCATTGTTAAAATCTTTATCGAAGTCTGTCGGTGGAAAATGATTTAAGAGTTATTATAAGGAAAAAGATAATAATAATTGCAGTAATGGAAATAATTTCAATTGACCTTCTTCGTGGTCGAAATCCTCAGTTGCATGACAGGTTCTTCCTTTTCTTTGAACAAAATCAGAGTTGTTCTTTCTTTGTTTGCAATTTGTTTTGTAGCATGAATTTAATTCATTTTCCTCATTGTTTGGTACACGATCAGTACCATCCTCAAGTTCATCAGAAAACTCTTCATTTGTATTGTTATCATCAAGTAAAAAATGTGCAGTATTAGATGTTGCTTTTTTATTCACTTTTTCGGTATTTTGTTTTGATTTTTTATTAACTGGTCCATTATCTCCATCTAATGTATCTGTATTTTCAAGCAAATTTTTTTCTGTTAAAATAGATTTATCCATTTCATATACTAATTGTCTTTTGGCTTTTTTTGATTGCTATGAAAAAAAAAAATTTGTATCAATTATATTATATTATTGTTGTTGAAATCTTATTTACAAAAATATTTTACCTTTTCTTTCTTTTTTTTTTCTACTTTATCGTGGTCATCATGACTGGCAGAGCTTTCATCTGAAATTATGGAGTTTAGAGATTCATTGACGTTGGAGTCGTTCAATTTCCTGACTGGTAATCTTTTCTTGCTTGCTTTGTCGAGCGATTCAAAAGCTGCACAAAATGAAATATTTATGTCAAAGATTGTATGAATTAAATGGGGCTTGAAATATTGTTACTTTTATCTATAAAATATTTTTTTTTATGAAGTGAAAACATTTTTTTTCAAAAAAAGACATTAACTATTTAAGTACATTATTTGCAAGTACTTTGTGCACATATATGAAAAAAAATGGTTTCTGGGCCTTTTGCCCTATATGCAAGCTAAATCTAAACATATGATCTACTGTAAGTTGTTCTTCGAACAATAATGTGGAATTTATTTCATAAAGTTTATAAAAAATAAATAAGAAATAGAAATTGAACTCATAAAACCAAAAATATAGTATAAATTAAAATAACACTTTTTTAAGCCCCCTTCAAGCCTGTAAGTGACAATAAAGTACACCATGAATTCATAATAAAATGTCTAATACATTGTAATTAATGATAAGCACAAGTACACATGATTGATCTGATGTGAAACTTGACGTTGCGTTTGCAGTCAAAGGTCAATTAAACAATATGAAACTCTCTATAGAACTAAATTGTATTAAGCAATGAATAGTATATCACAACATGCAGCTGAAATATATCAAATACTCAAAGTACAAGCTTTATAGTACTCTGACAATGTACTCAACTGTTTTTATTGATTTTATCTTTTTAAACTTGCTTATTAAAGTGATGTTATATAAAAATTTAAAAAATGTAATCCCCTTTGTCAGTACTAGAAAATTCTTTGAAGATTAATTGAAGATGAGCACGATGCAATTATTCCAAATCTGCTAATTTATAAAAAAATTGAATTATCAATACTCACTCCCTAGTTTGCATAGTGTTGCATACTCAAAAACATCATCAGTTGATTCTCTTTGGGCTGCATAACGAGTTTTTTGATTAAAATCCATATCATGTTTGGGCTTAAATTTGCCCCTTTGGAATGATTTCAACTGTTTGATCGGAATTATCGATGTTTCGTTTTCCAAGTTATTGTCTCTGAATCGCACAAGTACGTGAGTAAATTCATCACTCATTACATCCGACATCATGGGATATATTGAAAACAAATTCGAATGATTTATTCAGCAATTAAAAGCAAATCGAATACTATTACTTGAATAAATAAAATGCTAAGCAAAATACAATTCTAACTGAGTAGACTAGAAAATGTCTTATCCTTTGTTATCTGCACTCGATTTCTTCTCGTGCTTTGTTCTCGTTCATGGAATGTTCTACAACCATGTAGTAGTGTAGCTTTATACTGTATATTCGCGATTTTACAATACCGTGGCGCCGCCTAGCGGCCTGCTCTGAAATAAAAAAGAACCGAGTGTTTCCTTTTAATAAAATGGGAAAATTGCGATGAATGCACACCCCTCGATGAGAGTGAAAACGTAAATTCTTGATTTAAAATATTTACGGATATAAATATTTATCATGTAAACATTTGCAGGAATCGCAAACTTGTATTTTGATAAGTGAATAAAATAATTACAGTGACGTCTATTCACTGTAAACAGAGGTAGCAAAAACCTTTCCTACTACGGCTCGTTTCGGTATGCTGCCTTTTTAGTGATTAAAAATAATAATCATTAAAAATAGTAAAGAATGAAAATGATATTTTTTAAGGTATTTATTATTATGAAACTTCATTTTTTATAGTTAATTTCGTGCTCTGAATCGCATATTTACTCGGTTTTTTTTAACTCGTAAGTTAAGTCTCTAGGCAGCGCCAGCTATCGTGAAATCGCGAGCCTAAATTCACATTGAGAAAATATCACGTGCTTCGCAATCGCATGTGCAGAAACACGTGCAAAATAACCATACAAAATCCACATTTCGTGTAGCTGAACTGGTGCCACAATTATTTGCTTTATTGATAGAATAGATAGATTGCTTCATAGATAGATCGAATAGAAAAAATGAATAGGAGATAAATTTAAGTAGCTACATTTCGCGAGAATATAATTTAATTATTTATCTGTTAGTAAGAGATTTACATGAGTGACAAATAATATCCATAAGAAAATTCACATTTCATCATGCACAAATCCAGTCTTGATAGCGTGCCTAATGCAGCAGATAAAAGTAAGTTATAAATAATTATTCTATTTATTTAATGGCTGATACTATTTCACTAATAAGAGATGACAAGTTGGTACAGTTCATAAATTGATTTTTCCAAAAGGAGGTGTCAGTGTTAATGGTGAGCAAGCTTATAAAGCTGCAAAAACTATTTATGAAAGAATTGTAATTGTAGAATT